GTATTTTTCTTAAACAGTCACAGACAAAATAAAAAGGTTTTACTGTGTTTTATGGATTGTTTTAGTACAGAATAATTTCAAATGTTTTAGTACCTTTGGACCTGTCTAAAAATATATTTTAGTAAAGCTAAAAAAWTAAACCTTCTGTCAGAATGTCTGCAAAGTTCATTTTGTTTTAAAACATACACGTGTATAATAAATTAATTGCAAAAGGTAGGAAAAGGTAAAAGTGGAGGAAAAGTTTAAAAATTTGACAGGTGCACTTCACCTACATTTATATCCCTCCGCCAAAAAGATCAAAATAAAAATACTCACATGAGGCGCAGAAACTTGTGGCGAAGTTCGGATTAATTAAAATGTGTTTAAAGCTGGAGTTCGGGGAAGGCGGCACGGAGGAAGTACTCCCAAAGCAAAACAGTCCAAATGACCCCCGTGGATTTTGAAGCCGGACCATTTAAACTGCACACAGCTGCGCGAGCCGCGGGGCGGTGCCGAACAGCATCCAGTGTCAGGGGATGGAGGCAGTGCGCATGCGCAGTGCGGTCACCCAACCATAATTAAAACACACCTGAGTGAGAAAGTTCAGGTCTTAAAAGGATTTATTTTATGATTTGTTAATAGATATTATAACTTCTGCTGGTTTAGACACTGAATTAAAACATGTCTAAAGATTTAAGGATATTTAAGTGCAGATTTTCTGCTTTACTTTGAGGAAATATATTTATAATCTGGAGCAAGGGTTTAGAAATAAAGTTATTTGTATACAGCCTTCTTAAAWCAGGCTCTTAGGCGAAATATCTGGATTAGGATTTGAATTTGAACTGGATTTCTCAGAGAAAATGCAATCATAATATGAGTTAGTGTTCAAATGTTTATGGAGGACAACATGGACTATACTGCAGGATTACATGGAGACAGACATACTTAACATAAAGAGAACACACAAAGCTTCAGTTTTTAGTACTTGAAGCGTACAGTATTATGTGAAAGACATGGAGGCAGCAGGAGTGCAATAAAAATGCATTTACTGCCTTAAAAACATTTAAACCTTTGTAAAATAAATTCATATATCCGTGTTCTTGAGTTCAGCAGCCATTAGGCTTTATAGGTTTTTCATCATGGTCCCTCTCCTCATAAGGAAAACCAGCCGCCTACGACAGAGGACTCCCTGTTTGCTGTAAATCAGCTGAGAGTTTCTCCCCTTCACATAACTCATTAATCAAGTTAAAGGCCTAACATTAATACATATCACCCACCGTCTTACATTAAAAATATGATGGAGTAATATAAATACAAACTGCAGCTATTTGGATCAAACCTCAATATTTTGTTAAAGTTTGGAGTATGTTTTTGGAATGACTCTCAGCTACTACCACACCAAATTTTAGTGCATTACCTAAACATTTCACAGAGTTGTAACCATTTTTGTGTTTGTAACAATCACTTTGCCATGGCAGCCATCTTGACTTGGATTAACTTTAAAAGTTAATCAGTTGTAGGCGAGTACTTTATGGTATTTTCATTGAAATCAAGCAGATATTTTGCTAACAGGGTCAACTCCAACAGGTGAATCTAAGATTTGAAGCTAAGATATTGCCCTCAAAGTATGTGTTGGAGAAGATGCTCAGCTACTACCACGCAAATTCTCAGTTGGATTACTTCATGAAAGTTTCAATGAAATCCTTCCAGGGATTCATGGTATTTTGCTAACAGGGGCGATAATAATGAGAACTTCTTTYTTTGCGTGTGTGCATCCTATATGTGTATTCCATGTCCATGTTGCATTCCTCYAACACAAACAACATTCCCCCTCCTTCCCTCCAGCTTCCAGTTTCTTTCCAAAGGAACTTCCTATATAAGGACACTGTTCTGTTTGCTCCAGTAAATCAAGCTGCAGCCTGATAACTGAGGCCTGYTCTGTGCCAGAGGCAAAATGTTGTGCTGGTGGGTGTGTAAAAACCCAGTGATGAACCGAAAGACCAGCAGGGAGGACCCTCAGGCTCCCTCTGATCCACATCACTGAGGTGGAGCGACAGAAAAAAATGGGATGAAAGACAGAACAAAAGAGGGATGAGGAAGAGGAGGGATGGGGAAGCAGCAGATTCGTCGAACGGTGAGGCTGAAGTGGGGTTCCATATAAGGAGAGTGGTGGTGGTGGTGGTGGTGGTGGTGGTGGTGGGGGGG